TCGTTATCATTGATATTATTTATTAGAATTCTTATGAACGATATTTTTCCATAAAAATATAATATGACAAAACGAAATAAATTATAAATATGACATATTATATATCTTATTTTTTGTTTTCATTATCAGGTTTTATCGTTCGATATATAAAGATTATCATTATAAATAATAGGACACAATAAATGATTATTATTGTTTTGATATACGAATATGTATGAACATATTACATTGGAATGCGAATAGAAACGAATTCCATTGTATATTCAGTCGGTGCGTAGAGATTTTCACGAAATCGAGCTATCGTATATAAATGATAATACGAATGTCAACCACCGTATAAATTGCATGACTAGAACGGATAGTCTGGTATATTCGTGATGATGTAACGGGCAAAACCGCAAAGACCACACCCCGCCACTGACGAAGCCACGTGCTATTTCGTAAGCTAGCAGAGACTTTTAGGCAAGGCCGTAGTGTATAATAAGTTCGTGCCCTGCATAAGTAATATACGATCGTACAAACGTACGTGCATTTGTAAGAAAAATCTTTATAGTGTGAGGAAGAAGAAGAAGAGAAAATCATATGTTAGTTTATTCGTGACTTTAATAAATAGGGTGAATGATGATTCATCGTTCTTCCAGAAAATCCTATAAGATTATGTATGCAGGTATAACACCCATAGTCATCGTCCTCGTTACCCTAACTGTCCTATCATTCCGAGTCAAATGCACACCTTCCCTATATTATCATTTAATTTCCTCCTTTTTGGTTTTATTTTATCGCGTTCTCGCTTCTTATCATCGATTCCGTAGCATTAAGAAACACGGAAAACAAGAATTTATTGAAATTTCTAGTAATTATGCAAATTAGATCGGTACGTGTGTGGTTTAGCAGCTCATTTATTAGACCATAATTAACATTATCCCGATATATTTCGCTTCCTATTAAATTTATTTAACTGAATCTTAGTTATTGGATTTTATATAATATCCTTGAATATCAGATAGATGAATGAACGAACGAATAGATAGATGGATAGATAGATAAATGAAGGTGTAGAATAAATAAAAGGTAAAAACAACAAAAAATAACGTCCAAAGTATACTGACGTGTACTGTGTCGAATTCAAATTATACTAATTAAGTACAGCACGCTAACTCCGTAACAACATTCCGTAACTCTCGACCGCAGACAACGTCAGATGTGCAAGAAGATGTTCCCCTGCGGTTGCAACTAATTTACATCTGTCACTTTACGAGACTTTTTTTCGAATCCTAGAAAAACTCTTTCTCTCTCTCTTTCTCTCTCTCATTTTATTTTCTTTTATTCGCGAATCTTATTGTTTGCATTGTTTCTTTTATTTTCTTCGTGTTGTTTTTTTTTCTTTTTTTTTAATATTGATCGAAGACGATACTACAAACCGTTGAATAGATAAAATAGTAAAAAGGATCTGTGCGGTTGTGCGTTGTGTATTGGTACTAAATGTAAATTAGCATGCTCTACGGCACGAATATCGTTAATGTCAAAAGAAACCGCACAACGGCTGTGCTTTGTGATTTAAAGTATACATTTCTTTTAACTCCTCTCTCACCGCCCACCATCTTTCGTTTCAAACTAACGCTTTTGATTCTATCTTTCGAGATTAAATAGCATCACTCTCTCTCTTTCTCTCTCTCTCTCTCTCTTTTAGTAGTGAATGATAATTAGCTACTACCTATGAGACGTTTATTAAAACGTTCGAGAAATAAATTAGATTTTCAAGGCCAATCGCTAATTTCTTCTGGTTTTTTTTTTCCCCTTCTTTTTTTCCTTTTTTCACGTATATCATCATATCAAGCGTTAATCCATTCCTTCGGACAATTTGATGGATGATTTATATCGTAAACGGGAAATGATTGGCAGATTCGATTCCTGATTATCTGAGAACACGTACGCTAAGTATAATAAATATCTACCGGTGACTTCTCAACACTCTCGTAAGGAGAGTCTTCTTGTACCAAGAAAAGGTGATCGTTGTGTTTAAAAAACACGTGACAAGTTTTATACATATTTCTCAATGGAACAAAATCATTTTTTAAATCTCAAATTACGTTTACAACGTAGGCGGTGTTGGATTCCAAAAGGGGGTAAGAAGAAGACAGACAGACGGTCATTGAAAGAAATCTTTTTCAAAAGCGTAGAAAACGTGTTACTCGAATGAAAATAAATATTGATGAAGAAAAATCATAGAATTTATTTATTTATCGTTTAAAACCATGCTATTGCTTGCAATTGCTGTTCTGTAGCTGCTGTTGCAACGAATGCTTGAACGATAAACCGTTACAACTCGGCTATTCGCGACTTTAATCTTGGCTGAAGTAGAAGACATTGCCCGTTTTGTCTAGGTACTAGAGTAGTATTCCTCGAAAGGAAATAAACTTTCGTAAAGAGAGTTAAAGAAAGAGAAAAAGAGGAAAGGTACATAAGACAGGCGAAATATGCGAAGGTACAGCTTTACGTGGTGCACACATCAAACGAATGTACATACACGTGTTGTACCTACGTAGACACGAATATATCTGGGAATAAATGTGTGTGTGTGTGTGTGTGTGTTAGTGGAGGCCGGCTGGTTGGCGCCACTCGGCCCGCCACATATATCGAAGTAACGCGTAATAAATGTAATATTATACACGTCTCTGATATAGCAACACACGTACCAGACAAGGTATTGTAAAAAGATGAATTATAATATCACCTTTCGATCGTAAGCCCCCACCCACCCGGGCCCCTCGCTCACCCCTCGTCGTTAATTTCGACGATCGGGTGAAAAATATATAAGAATGAAGTAAAAGAGAACGAAGGAGTCGCGAACAAAAAAATTGGTGTTTTACCCTACGTGCCACTCAAGTAAAGGTATAATTTAACGAGAGAAACGGGGGAGAGAGAGAGAGAAGAGGGGAAAAAATTGTGAGAGAGAATCAGCCGATATATACAAGGTATTCCACCTTCCACCTTTCAAAGTCGATAGGAGAACGACGTCGATAGATAACGGAGAAACTGGAGCGGTTACTTGGATCGAGCAAAAGTGATAATAAACCGCGAGAGCAACGGAGACGTGGAGAAAGACAGCTCGCGAAGTTCTGAGTCATCGGTGCATAAAGCGGAAAATAAGAGGTTGAAGTGTCAATGGTTTCGATACGAGAGTTGGATGATAACCAATACCATCGAGTGAGTCCAGGTCGTTGAAATTGGGACGTTCGAATGATCCGAAAGAAAGAATCAAGAGGAAACAAAATTTATCACGACGAATTTCAACACGTTGCAGAAAAATACGATAGAAAAAGGAGAGACTTCAGAAAAAGAAAAAAAAAAAAAGAAAAATGAATAAGCGTAAGGAAACGGTGATAAGTTGAATGGAAAGGTGCTAATTATCTCGAAATTCTCGATATTGTTAGTCAACCGACGATGCAGTTTTGATATATATATATATATATATACATATATACGTACGTACACGTATGCAAATGGCATGAAGCGCGAATCGAGCGCAATGTTATTTCGGATGTCGCGCGCAAACGTTGCCAAGAAAATACTCTTGCGACGACACGTTCACGTGGGAGAAACGATCTCATACGCATACGTTCCTCTACACAACGATCCAATTTCGTGTATAACACACTCGTGCATACATATATATATATATATTGCTAAGCGTACATATTTTCCAACATTCCTAAAGAAACCTAATGATCTTATTTTTCGCTTAATAAAATGCTAATGAAAAATCACGACTAACGAGGCCGCACGGTGGATCGTTAACGAGAACCAAAAACAAGAAAAAACATATAGTCATCTTTTAATTTACTTCATTGACTTTTCTTTTACTATAATATCCTGAAGAAACTTTCGTTGTTATGAATTATCGAACACAAATTGGTGGTCGGTGTGTACATAGCCATTACGCAGGATATTTCCTTAAACGTATTAATGACAGTTTTGCCAAGTATAGCAAGCGATTAGGCTGTCTCTTGGTGGTTTAATTTGCATTTAACGTTTCAAAGGTATCTAGGGCTACCAGATTCCAAGGATACTCCTCTCGTCGTTTTAAACAAATCGATCTTCGAGAAACTCGCGCGTGTAAAGATATTTTTTTTTTTATATTTTTTCTTTTAATAATCTATTTTTTTTGTTTTGTTTATAACAGTATATCGCGTTTAAATAGAACTCTATTTCAAGTTCACGATTGAAATCATATGCACGTATAGAATAAGAGAAAGATTTTTAATAGATATTCGATAAGCAAAAAATGATTTGATAAGATATCGATAAAAGAAAAAGCAAAATGCAATCTCTTGTATTATTTTATTGTAACAGATACAGGCACGCAATATTGAAACTTTGTAGTCAGTTATTGAAGTCAGATAGAAGCAGATCGATAATCGTTATTCGATAAACTCTGTGGTCAAGTTTATTTACCGATGATATCATCGATAATACTCGGTGACGCGATTCTATGGAAAATGTTAATTCTATCGCTAATATAGTTCACGATTAACGATAAAAGAAAATTCATCGATTCCTTTATAATATCGAATCGCGATTATTTCATCCGTATACATACATATAAATATTTATTCACAATATTTACTTATCATCAATGAGAAATTGGAAAGAGATTTATATACTTCAATATACATATATTTTCCCATTTGATCTTTCATTGAAATTATTTTAAAATCAATATATCCTAAGATAAACTTTGAATTATTTTTAACACTACGATAAATATAATAATTTTTCTTTTATCGCGATCAAAAGATATTAAATATAAGAAAAAAAAAAACAAAAAGAAATTTTATATGAAAATAAGATAAAGGAAGAAAAAAAGATTGACGATATTATGGGGGACGAATGACGACGCGTTGTTTGCAACAGGATTTATTAACGTATGTATGTAATACATGCACATATCCTAGTAGCATGTGGAAAATCATGTAACCAAGAGAGAACGATATAGATACCTTTCTCCGTGACCCCTTAACGAGTAGAAGAGTCCTTCCGCTAGCGGCTTTTTCTTCTCTTCGGTGTTTATTTGCGCGCGACCTTTCTCTCTTTTCGTCCCAGCTTGACCTTAAAGAGAGAAGCCACGCTGAATTATCCGTCCGCGTATACCAAAAATACGCGGGCTCGCTTTTGGCCCACCACCCTCTCCCTCCCTCTCGCTTAGGGTTGAATAAATTAATACGTATGATGATTTCCGAGAGAACAGGAGGTAGTACTAGGAGTAACCAGATATACGATGAAGAGATTCTGTTTTTGTTTTTTTTTTAATTTAAAATCACGTTTTATTAACGAGTATCAAAAGGATTGATAAACAACAACAACCAACAACAACAACATAGTCCTTTCACCACGTTTTAATATTTCAAATATCGAGATTATGAAAAAGAGAGTGAGAGAGAGAGAGAGAGAGAGAGAGAGAGAGAAAGGGGAAAAAGAAAAAGAGAGCTAAACGAAAATCGTGAACAAATAAACAATACCAATATTCGATTAATAAATAACGCGTCTGAAATAGTAGCACACTTTCTTCTCGTTTTAAAGTCACGCACCGAAAAAGATAAATAGATAGATAGATAGATAGATATATGGAGAAAGATAAGGATAGAAAAAGAAATGACAAATAGATATATAAACAAGAAAAACTAAGGAAAGTATATATTCGTTAAATAAATCCTTTTTCACGTGTTTTATATTATTATACCGGCAAAAAAAAATGTAATCACAAGTAATACGAACGAACGAACCTTTCGCGCGCGAGCTTCGAAAAGCAATGCAAGCACGAACGACACGAGAGACTCTCCTTCCTTCCTACGTTCTTACGTCGTTCCCGGCACGCTCGATCTCTATCTCACTCTCTCATTCCCTCTCTCGTGCCTTCTCCTTCTATTTCTCTGTCTCACTTACTCACTCTCTCACTCTCTCACTCTTTCTTTCTCGGTTCTTCGGACTAACTCGATCTTTCTTCCTCTCTAACGTAAGCGCCTATAGTCATCTCGATTCCTTTCGCTGTCTCTCTTTCACCTATCAAGTATCTCGATCAGTCTTTCTCTTTCTGTCCCCCACTCTACTGACCATCCATAACTGTTCCGGTCTCTTTCCAGTCTTCTTATTTCTATCACTCTCTCTCTCTCTCTCTCTCTCTTTCTCTTTTGCTGCCTCTTCCCCTTGCACCTCGTTCCCCTTCACGTCTTGTCGCACCTTCAGGCGACTTACCTCCTCTTTGTAATCAAAAATCCAACTCTCTCCTTTTCTCCTTCGTAGATTGGATTATCCGTCTCTCACCGAGTTATTTGTCTTTACACTCTATCTCTTTTTCTCTCTTGCTGGCCCTTTGAAAACCTCCCACGCATTCTCTTTTACAGTCCTTCTTCTCGTACCTCAATATCTTCTCTCTCTCTCTTTTTCTCTCTTTTTTCTCTCTCAATTTCTCTCTCTTTCTCTGTTGTATCCTCCCTCGATTTCTCTCGTTCTTTCGTCATTCTGTCGTTCGGTTCTTCCTATCACGAGAACCGACACGCGTCCACTCGTGCTGAGAGAGAGAGAGAGAGAGAGAGAGAGAGAACTTTTGCCAACACCTACGGGTTCGTACAATTTCCACACACGTTCTTTTTCTTTTCTCTATATATTTTTTATATTTTTCTTTTTTCTTTTTTCTTTCTTCCCTTTTTTCTTTTTTTTTTTTTTTTTTTAATGCAGACAAGTCGGCAAACCTTACATCAAGCACCATCGAAACCATTCGTCTCTTTAAATCACGCCCTCGTTTTCAGAGGTCTTTGATATCCCCGACTCTGGTTTTAAAGAAGTCCTGGACGCTTTTGAGGGTGAAAAAAGTGGGGATATATAGTTGAACAACAGAGAGAAAGAGAGAGAGAGAGAAAGAGAGAGTAAGGTGAATGAATGTAATATTAGAGGGTTTTCTTTGAACGAGTTAATTAGTTCTTTTACGTTAGATATTCTTTCATTTTTGACCAAGTACCTTTTGCCAAAGTAACTTGACGTTAAATTAAAGAAACGTTAAGAACACTTTGCTGTGCTTTTTCTTCCCTCTCTCTCACTTTATTTTCTACAAGCTTTTCAAATACCTTGCAAGAATGCAAGAGAACGAAAGAATTGGGTTAAAGTAGAAAGCGCGTTTTAACACGCGTTAATTCGTCTTTAAAACGATCTTCGTTCCTCGTCGCGCATGTCATGTGTAATATATTTTAATTATTTGAAAAAAAAAAACTAAAACGTTTTCGTGCTTTTGCGAAAGTTACAAAATGACATTGGCTATTTTTTTCGTTTTTCGTCAGGACGGATCGTTTAACAACTAGTTCGATATCCTTTTCTTTTTTTCAAACGGATTTCCTTTCTAAAGCACAATTCGTGATATTCGATTAGGAAGTAGTCCATCGTTATCACTTGACTACCATCGTCTCATCATCTACCCCTTGTAACTTTTCACTACGATCATTCTGTATAACTTATACAAAACTTTCGTATTTATTTTAAAACGTTAACATCTTATCTGTACATTTTTTTTGGGGAGGGGGGGGGGGAATTTGTCAACGATCGTTACTTGTATATATATATAATCGTTTGATTATTAATATTAATTAATTACGAACGTAGATTTGATTTATATCGGTTAAAAAAATATTATTATTATATTTTTTTATAAGCAGAAAGATTGAAAGTACACTTTAGTATTAAAATTAAAAATAGATAAAAACAAAAACCCATGGATATAGATTAGAAAAAGATTGTGGTTAGACAACCCTAAAAATTCTTATGCGACAGGGTATACACGCACTTAAGCATACTTTCAAGTTATCAGTGAAGAATTCCAAAACTATCTGAACTAACGGTTAATGTTGGGAAAAGCATTTAAGTTTTACGCTGTTTGTCGATTAACTAACTCAATTACTGCTGGAATTAGATAAAATTTTTAACTCGTTTAGTCTAGTGAAGGAGAAAAAGAGACATCGGATATTTTTTTCCTAGTTATCTCACGTTCCAATTTCGTTTAGTCTCTTTACGTATTTGAAAAACATTTGTAAATGAGAAATCCTCTAAACGATGATCGAATTCCTAGAAACGAAAAATGAACTCTGTTCGAACAATTGTTCTAACATTTTTCATACTGTCTATCAAAAGTGTTAATAAAAATGATTATTATTGAAATAAATGATAACCGACTCTTGTTAATGTTTCTATTCATAAATAATGTTGAAAGCACGAAGATAGATTTAACGAAGATGCTTAATTAATTTCAAGTGATTCTATTATTCTGGACACAATCTAATTATAAATGAACAATACAATCTTTTGTGAAGAGGAAAACGATATAGTAGCGCTCTCTGGAGCGTAAACCCATGAATTAACTACTTGAATTAAACGCGAAATTACCGACCAATGCTTGCTATCTGCATTTTCACAAATATAAAGAGTTAAACCATTAATTTATGGAATTAAATTGACAATATTAAATATACCTCCTTTTGTGGGATGACGATAAAGCTATGATTATTTTTTGGATATTTTTTAGGTAAGCGCACCGCGATTCCCCGTAGTTGTGAAATTAGGACATGCTCATGGAGGTATTGGGAAGGCTCGAGCTGAAACAAATCAAGATTTCTTGGATCTCGCATCTTTGGCAGCATTGGCGAATACTTATATCACCGCTGAGCCATACGTTGACACCAAATTTGACGTACACGTGCAGAAAATAGGAAACAATTACAAGGCCTTCCTGTAAGTCCGTAATTAAATGGGGCAGAGGGGATGGGTAAAGAAAAATAATTGCAATCATTTTTATATGCTTGTTCATTTTCAATCTCCCCTTTTTACGGATTCTAGTTACTTTTCTGCAAACATACTCCAAAAGCACACGGTTTTTGTTTTTTTTTCCAAACAGGTACATCTATCCAATTTACTAATCATTTCCTAGTTATTTGACTTCAGTTATCCGACAGGAACTAGTAATGATTGATCAATAATTTGTATACTCATCTTTGTTTAATTCTCATTGAATGTTGTATCTTCGATAAATAAATAAATCGATCCATATGATTATCTCGTATATATTAAACAATAACGAATGATTGTTGTTTATTATTAAAGACGAAAAAGCATAACTGGAAATTGGAAATCAAACACGGGTTCGGCGATGTTGGAACAAGTACCGGTTAGCGAACGACATCGTGTTTGGATTGACAACGTATGCCAACTTTTTGGTGGCTTGGATATTTGCGCGATCGAACTTCTCGTTGGTAAAGATGGCCGAGAACACATAATAGAAGTTAACGATAGCGCTTTATCATTGATGGGAGATTCTCAGGAAGAAGATCGTCGTCATATAGCCGATTTGGTTACCGCTAAGATGCAAGTACGTTAGATTGTAGAAATTTAATAATACCATTTTTTCTTTTTTTTTTTTTTTTACAGAATTTATTTTACTTACAACTACAAAGATCCACGAGAAAATCTGTGGTGTTTTTTTTTTTCTGTTGTTCTTGTTTTTTTTTCGATGATTTTGCTCGCAGGCTTGTTGCCGACCACCCAGCGTTTTAACGAAAACAGCCTCGAGGGGTTCCATGTCCGGTTCGAGCCAAGCTACGAGTCCTGTTGAAGAATCACGTACGGCACCACCGCCAATAGCACCACCACCTGCACCTTTAGGATCTCATGGAAGTATGAGCTCGATGGCAAGCATAGGTAGCTTAGGTTCTACTACGGCCTTGGCAGGCGACGTTACTACTTCGGATACTCATCATCAACTTCAACGTCGTGATTCTCAAGGTTTCTTATTTTATCTATCTTACTTATCATTCTACCATCCCTCCTATTCTTTAACGTAGTTTAGTTTTTATTATATTTTTATCTATCTTGATTTTTACTTACAGCATCCCAATCTAGCACGGTCAGCAGTGCACCATCGGTCGGTCGAAGATCAGATGAACCACCGACAATACCATCAAGAGTACCTTTCCATCGTCAAGGTAGTCAGTCTCAGACACAAGGTGAAGATACCGAAGATACGATGAAAAATCTTCGAAAAACGTTCGCTGGTATATTCGGTGATATGTAATTCGTTTAATCGGCTGATTAATAATACCCAAGAAATATAGTATCATCAAGAATAATCTGATTAGAAATCAAGAGATAAACGCTAGTTCAAGTCTGACAAAATATATCGTCTTGTTTAAGGGAAGTTTTATTTTAGCAGTTTAACGATTTAAAAAAGAAAAAAAAGAAAAAGTTAATATTTCAAGCGACTCAAGGATTTCCAAAAGTATTTCCTATCGTAGCCTCGCATCGATGTGTAAATATCTATATATTTGCAGATATTTGTTCATTTTTATCTCTGTACACAATTAAGACGCGGTTTCTAGATAAGAAGGTTTTTTCGATCTTGAAAAAAAAAAAAAGAAAAGAAAAAAAAAATAATAATGCTTGGCAGTAGTCGATATATTCGATATAGAAAATTGCTATAATTTTATTTTGATAGATAGATATTACGTAATATATGCACTTTATATACATATGTTTCTTTTACATGAGTAAAGTCAAAATATTGATTATAACGACAAATGTACTTATTAATTCTAATATATAGAACAACGAATTATTTTTTATTAACGAGATTTATAATTCACAATTGTAAATTTATTTCACAATTCTTTAGATTAATTCAATTTGTTTTCTAATTTATGTTGATAATCTTGTATCGTGTAAGCAAAAGTTTCGATATATCGAATAAACAATATGCTTTGACATTTCGTATTTTAAACGCACAAGTAGTTCGTAAGCTTTCAAACAAACAATAAAAATGAGCATTTTAACGTTACGACGATGTCTTTAAAATTACAATGAACTGCATATATATATATACATACATATATATATATATATAATATATACATACATAAATATATATATATATACACACACACTCACAACAAGGTGCTTAGAGAAGTTGATGTTAAATTAGAAAAGATTTTTAAATTGCAACAAGTACGAAATCGAAATCAAAGCCATTTATTAAAAGAAATGTCTATTATCTTCCATAGACTTGCAGTCTGCGAATATATAAATGTTTATGCAAATTCAAGGCTCGTTATTTATTATCTTCCTCGATGCGATAATTAAGATATCTTTGTTTAAATAAAAAAAAAAAAAAAAGGAAAGATATTTCGTCTCCAATTTGTGTTATCACGAATGACAGTGTGTATTTCAATGATGATCGAATATCGTGACTTCAGCACCGATTTAAATTCATTTATTTTTTTATTTTTTTCATCGTTATATGAAAATAAAAATGTTTTGCATTGATTTTATGTATTTCAACGTGCCTTTTAACAATATTGAAGTGTCCTTTTTATAATATTCTTCGAACGCATCAAAAAAGATGCGATGTTAACGGTTAAATTAAAATAAAAACAAATAAAAATGTATCATCTTCGAGACAATTTTTCAATCAAAAGTATTGCACTATGTACAATTTAAAAATCACTATCAATTATTCGAGGTAATATCATTGAATCATTTTTTCTTTTTTATAATATGTTTTCTTATCATCAATAAAATGGAAACAACAAGTGGTACACCGTCCAATGGAAGAAAAAGTTTTGCAATTTTTCAAACCGTTAACAATTTAACGTCCAAGTTCGCAGAAAAAAATACGAAGGAATGAAAAAAAGCATTCATTTTATTGAATTGAATTTTTACAAATTCATTAAAAATTGCTCGGATAATATAAATAAATATTTTGAAAAATAAATCAAAATCAAAAAGATCAATCTCAAGAAAAATAAGAATAATTATTTACGTGTAAAATTTCTCGTTAGAGACAATGTCAAGATAGGAAAAAAATTCAAAAACGTGCAATGGCACTAGTTAATACGTATTACAAATTTTTATTAATTATTCATATATTATAATTGAAAAAAGAGAGAAGCTGAAGCCACGATATTATGCAGATAGGATCGATATTGAAGGGAAGAAAAAAAAAACAAGAAAAAAAAGAAAAAAAGAAAAAGGAGACAATAGAACACGCCAATTAATAAAGACAAAGAATACCTCAGGGGTGCGAACGTAAGCGAACGTAGATGATAACATAGAAAAATTAGAAGAAACTGTCAGTACTGATAGAACAGAAAATGAATGGGAAAAAAAAAAAGAACAAACGTAGAGGGATTAAGAAGTAGCGTTAGACGAATATTCGGCGAATTTTTCTTCGACATGGAAAACGTCAAATTTATTACTACAAAACAAATAGTTTGTTATTTCGTTTAAATCCTTGATAGTTAAAAATTAAAGTGTGTTCTATACATATAGTTAGACCCTATATAGTAAATCCTATCCGATCGCAATTATAATAGCGTTTAATTGAATACATATAATTAATTTTTTGGAATGAAATTTCATTTGAAAACTTATACGTAAGAGTCATCTAATTCCATAAAATCTCTTATTAAATATTTAGGTAACACACACGTATTATCAAAATATCTACCATTATGGTTTCATATTTTTATACTATTTCTTATCCCCGTTATCAAATGTCGATGGTGCGATATTTGATGGAAAATCATTTTTTAAAAAATATCTATCAAGGAGGAAACAAAAAAAAAATATGACCGATAATCCTGAGTAATTTATTTCGTATTGCGTTTTAACAGAGTTGAATAATAAGTATTATATATATATAAAAGAGACATCGCAAAATTTTATTCTAGAGTCGTTTACTTAGAAAACGTTAAACATTCGATTATCACGTAGCATCGCGAAAAAATAACGATAATATTATTCCCCGATGCGAAATTTCTCTCCCCTTTTTCAATTCCCTCCCCCCTCCCCACCCCCGAACAAAATATCTTTGAACGAAGTAATAACAATATTAGCAATATATCAAGAGTTTACAATCCTTTTGTTGCACGAAGGTAAACCGAACAAAACCTTTCACTATTGAACGGCGTCTTCGTTGTTGCGACTTTTGAGCAAACACTGCATGTACGCAAAAATATTATCTCGATTTAAAAAAAAAAAAAAAAAGAAAAAAAACAAAGAAAAACAAAAAAAAAAGGAAAAAAAAAAGAAAAGAAAATACAAAAACATCGTTCCGTTTGATTGTCGAGTTAATAAAAAAAAAAAAAAAAAAAANAAATAAAAAACAAAAAGAAGAAGGAATACCGGCAACGATATCTCTTTCGTGAAAAAAAGGGGGAAGAAAGTGGTTGAGAAATAAAAAAAAAAAAAGAAAAAAAAAGAATGAAAGAAAGAAAAAAAAAAAAACGTACCTACGTGTATTTTCAATATAAATATACTTCCTAGTCGTGATTAGAAGCGTGACACATATTAGAAAAAAGAAGAAAGAAAAAAAAAAAAAAAACGTACCTACGTGTATTTTCAATATAAATATACTTCCTAGTCGTGATTAGAAGCGTGACACATATTAGAAAAAAGAAGAAAAAAACAATTAAAAAAAAGAAAAAAAAAAAAAGAAATAAAAAGCAAAATAAAAATAAAAGAATTAGAGAAGAGTGAAACAATGTTAAATCGGTTCGAGTACGCTATTGAAGTTTCGAATTTGTCTTATGCCAGTTATTAGACGTTCGTTTGTGATCGTTTGAAAATAATTTGAAACATAAGACGGAATGAAAGAAAAAAGACAAAGATGGAAACTTGAAAGAAAAAGAAAACAAAAGAAAACAAATAAAAAAAAAACAACAAAAGCGTATATCATCGAACTATCCTGAACCCCACAATTTTTTGCCCGTAATAATCGAGCATTCGTTTGATACTAATCGAGGAGAAATCTTTTTACGTGCGTAAAGATCACAGTTTGGCGGGTAATAATTAATAATGTTTATTATCGACGGTTGCTGCCAGTTCAGTGCCTCCCAACGTGTCTCTTTTTCTTTCATTTTTTTACATTTCAACGAAAAAGAGACAGTGAATATGGGAAAGAAAGGATTCAATAATAAAACGAGGATTGGAAAAAGAAAAAAATTTACAAACAGAGGAATATCCACCGTCCGCCTCCAAGTTTATAAAGAGAACACATTTGTATCGTTCAATATAAATAAAATCTTTTTTTTTTTATATTATCAACGAACCATAAATAAATGAATTAACAACAAACAGAAAGAGCGAGAGAGAGAGAGAGAGAGAGAGATAAACAAGATTTTATAATCAGAGAACGTAACACCAGCATTTAATTATTGCATTTAATCAAGAGATAACAAACGTGTGTATGTTAACTGAATACTAAAACAAATAAACAAAATGCCATAGTTGGCACGTATCATCTCTTCGTGCATTTAATTAATCAGTATGCATTATTACTTTCGAAAGAGTAAACATCAATTTAAAATACAGTGATTATTTGTTTGGAAATGGTACCGCGTTAACAACGAACTACGACAAAATCAAAGAATGAAATAACAAATAACGATTCGTTCGAACAAAAAGAAAGAAAAAAAAATAATATTAATAATAATAATAAAAAGAATAATAATAATAAGAATAATAAGAATAAGAATAATAATAATAATAAGCGAGAGCATATTAACATCCTCAAATAAAATTAATTGGAAATTGGAGCCAACTAGAGTACGCATTATTGATTTAATCTCGATTATAGCGAAAGCTCGTCAACACGATTAATACTCGAACTCTGTGTAATGGATACTCTTTTAATAATACACATTAAATAAAGTTAATTAAACGATTAACAAAACAAAACAAAAAAAAAAGAAAGAGAATGAAAACATTCATAAATAAATAAAATAAAATAAAATAAAATAAAATAATGTGAAGTTATATAAATCTTTAGTGGTAGACGTTGCTGTCGATGGTGAATAACTAACATAAGTTGCCCCGACACGCGTAACCTCCTTGATTTCAATGCGTGCTAGCCACATGTATAATAATCACACAAGACTACATACAAAAGTTTCGAAACAAAAAAAAAAAAATATATATATATATATATACACATATATAAAAAAAAAAAATAAGTAATAAATATATGACTATTAATTGACATTAATAATGATAAATATATTGCTGCATTAAACGTTATTAATGATTATTATCTTCGAATACATCTCGATGTTACTCATTCGATAAAACAAAATATTAATATAATTGATAATCAGCCTATCGTGCCGAGGAAAGATGAAAGAAAAGAAAAGAAAAGAAATAAAAAACAAATGATCAAGAGCAAGACCAACGTTGAGCAACGTTAAAAGGTTTTAACAATAAGAAAGAGACACAGGTCTAATTAATACTACGTATTTATATAATATATAATGTATAGATGGAAGAGTATAAATCGTGTTAAGTGAAAACGCAGAGAATCGAAGATTTCAAGTGGAAAAGAACAAAAAAAAAAAAAAAAGAAAATACAAGAAAATAATGGGAGAAAGATCGAGTTGATGGTCAGAAAATTTCGAAGGAATTCAATCAAAAACAAAAAAAAGATATGTGCGCAAAAAAAGGATGGGTGTGAAACGATAAAGAGAAAAGAAGGAAAGGAAGAAAATGGAAAAGTAAAAAAAAAAAAAGAAAAACACATATAGAAACATCCTGAGATGAATAAAATCTATAATATCATATAATAAATGATAGATGATCAACGAAGATCAGAACCAAGGATGGTCAAATCTCCTAGAGAATTAAGCCTCCTAACTTATTGTTAGATGAATGACAATATAAAACCATGAAGCTCGAAGAAGATGGGCATTAGCGTGTAGGAAGAAAGACTGGTGGGGTGGGTGGGGAAGGGAAAGGGGGTTGGGTGGGTGGGTGGTAGGGGTATGTTTTATTTTGTCCTTTTAACCTTTCTCAAATCCCTCGTAATCGTTGAATTGCGTGGGGGGTCATCGTCTTTCTCGTTTCTTAGAACTATGATGGGCGCTGCTTGCTTTTACGTAAGAAAGGAAAATATAAGTAAAAAAAAAGATAAAATTATGGAAAAGGGTAAAGTTGATACGAACAACTAAAGTGGTAATAGGAGTGGATTGGATGAAGAAGAAGAATAAGAAGAAGAAGATGAAGAAGATGAAGAAGATAAAACAGCGTTAGGATGAAATACGAATGTCTTATGTATCTATAGATATAAATTCACGTAGATTGATTTGTTTCTTTTCCACCTACGTACAGGATGCAATTTGTTATCGTTATAAATAGGGGAAGAGGGGGTGAGGGTTGGGAAGGGAGGGAGGGTGGGGGATATAATTAAACATTAAACGAATACAAGAAGAAGAAAACTAAAAGAAAGACAGTATATACTAACATAAAAGCTAAGGAATAGTAGTATGCGACGAAAAGATAAAATTCAAATGCAATTTCTATTTGTCATCGTTAATTGTTATATACATATATATATAGATATATATATATATATATTATTTGATTTTTCTTAATGAGAACTATATGGTCTCTACAAATATGTGTAAGCGTATAGTTTAATTAAATTACCTGTAATCCGGATGATCAACAACACGCAGGAAGAACACACACGTGCGGGATAAACGACGAGAGATTATAATGAAGAAATCGTGTAAAATAATAGATAAAAGAGAGAGGGAAAAAGAAAATAATAATAATAATGAAAATAAAAAAACAAACAAACAGCAGACACATTTATAGAATAGATATACCTAGTTACGCGAGAGTAAGCGGGTAATTGATTACATTTTAACGGCAAAATTTATTTCGATATTTGTAATTTACGTACTCGTTTATCGATTCACGACGATCACTTTACATTCGTTTGTTTGATTATTTATTTCCGTTACTCGTGGATAATTTTTGAAAAAAAAGAAAAACTAAAACCAAAAAAGAAAAAAGAGAAGAATGATTACAGCGTTTCGATCAACTGGACAAATAATTCATTTGTATGAATAATTGATGATAAAAAATGGGACGATTGTTCAGCGAGCACGAGAGATATAATTAACTATTATAAGAAACGCGTTGTGTGTTGCGATAATGAAATTTATTCGACGAGGATTAATGTATTTTGAGAATAATTTTGAACGATAGATTGGGTGTCAATTTTTTTGTTTTGGTTTCTTTTTGTAAAAGATGGGAAATTATTATTGATTAATTCGTTTAATTTCACTTACATTCATTTTTATACATTCGAAAGTTTCATTATTACATCAATGATTTCAACGTAATAACATCAAACGATTTTTCGAACGTCGGTTTTATCGAGCATTATTATTACTCTCATCGATTGACTGTTAAAATCACCATAGAATTATGATGATATATTTCATAATGCGTTTCCTAATATTTACGATTGTTATTGGAAAATGTGCGCAATCATAAATGTGTTAAAGTTATAGATGAATGTCCATTGTGTTATAATACATATAATATATGTTGCGTTGTCATTGAATATTATTATATTATGATTATGATTATTATTAATTATTATTGTACTGCTATTATATATCAATATTAACGAAATCGATGGCAATGAAAAAATGAAATAATATTGCCCGTGGCGACAAATATTTTAGAAAGTCTCCCCTCCCTCCTGCGCGTGATGCTATAAATATAAATAATCGATGTGTAATAATCGTCGTAACCACAAAGTTTTCCAATTCACCGATTAGTCGATGCACTTGTAAGATGTAAATCGTGATTTAAACGAAAATGAAAAGAAAAAAAAAACAAGCAAAGAAAAGAAGAAGAAAAAGACGATAAAAAGAACACAAGAAAAGAACAAAATTATTTATCAATCTTCGATAAATGTATCGCGCGAGAGAAAGAAGTAATTAAAAGAAGCAAAAAGAAAAAAAAAAAGAAAAGAGAAAAAAAAAAGAAAAAAAAAAAGAGGAGACATTTGTAATCCGCGATTAGAGATTAATCGGGCACGCTGTATTTGAAATGTGTCCGACCTATTATAGGATTCGTTAAAAAATATGATTAACGCGAAACCAGCTGAAAAACTGTAATAATAAACAAAATATATATCTAAAAATAAGCGTAAAAACGATAACAACAGCGAGTAATAACCATTTAACACTGCATCACATAATCCTTGACAAAAAAATTCATTCTTTCTTTTGTTTTCATTAAATTTTTTGCTTTGTTTTTCCTTCCTTTCTTTTTTTTTTTTTTTTCATTTCGTAAGAGAATACATTCTTATGAAGGTAATAAAGGAACATAGTAGAAATGAAAAAGAAATATCTTATAATCAAACGATAGTCTTGTCCAATTCTGTGTTCAATGAATAATTTCGATACATTCCACCGAGTCCAACTTCTCGACTGAAGGAAGCATTTCGAGGATAATAGGTTGTAGGAACGGTATGAATTGTAGGCGCGTACCAACCATAATCCATGGAAGTACTCCTATAACAGGGATGTGGAAGAGGAACGTCGTCTTGACGATATCCTTTGAATATCCCTATAAAGACGACGATCGATAGATCAGTTACACACACTTACGTATACAATTTCCTTTGTTCGAAAAATCGATATTGATATCATGTATATCGATAAATTTACTTTCCAACAACTCGTTCTTTCGATTCTTCGCCTATTTGCATAGTTTTCTCATAGTCGACTCGAAGACACGTTACATACAGTTTATTTTAGTACATACGCATAACAGTTGCAGCTGTTTAACATTTATCATCGAGCGTTTCCACGTGACCGATATCGAAAGATAAATTATTTTTTTTCCCTTGCACGGCGCGCGAAAAATATTATATTATATTATATGTCATATTATTTTTCAACTCGATTTTTATATTTGAAATGAGAAAAAGAAAAAAAAAAAGAGAACATTATCCTCGAAGAGTTATCCGATATATTATTAATATTTTATATTTGTTTCGTGTATAGTACCTCCTCCCTTCCCCCTTCCTCCTTTCCGCCCCACCAACAAATCTATCGTATTTCGATTAATTGTTTGTTTCTGCAAAACATATTATTTACTATTAATCGAATTTTTTGATTGATATTGAAATTGAATAGGCTATCATAATTGTTTACAATTTCTTGAAAACACAATTTTTTCTATTAACAACACAATGAGAGAAAAAAGAACTACTCTTTGATTTCTACGCAATCGTACGGTTCCTGATAATTGACATTGGTGCAATGATATTTTTTAGTAAATTCGAAATAATGTTCGATCAATTCGTTGTTTATTTTAAATCCAGGCTCAACAGTGACGAGCTTCATTTTGGCGAATGCAGACATGTCGACGTAACGTAGCTTGTTGTTATTAAGAAATAAAATTGATAGCTCGTCTAATCCCTCAAAGGTGTCTTTCTCAATCGTTTCGATTTCATTCCCGTTCAACCAAAGTGAATTTAAGCTTTTCAAATGTCGGAACATTCCACCAGGAAGAGATTGGAAATGATTTTTCCCAAGATCCAACTCGTTTATTTCGTTCAGCCCACGAAATACGTCCGAATGTAAATTGGATATTTTGTTCCTTGACAAGTAAAGTAAATCTATATGAGGGAGTCCAGCAAATGTTCCAATCGGTATCTCCGTAATTCCATTAGAATCCAACGCGAGTGTTTCCAATTGTCTCAAACCTTTAAAAGCATTTCTCTTAAGTACAATATTATTATTAGTTGCATAAAGCTCGTGAAGTTCCGTCAATCCTCTCCAAACATTCGGGCGAAGATCGGAAATATTATTATTATCCAATAGCAACGTTTCCAAATAATTCAATTCGGTGAAAACACCATCCTTGATATCTCGAATAGAATTATTTCGCAAATCCAAATACGTCAATTGATCTAAGGTCTCGAAATAATACTTCGACACGATCGACAAATTATTGTTTCGCAAATAAAGAGCCGTAGAATTGTTGACACGAACAAATGCGTTCTTTTTGATATCCGTTATTCCAAGATCCTCGAGATGTAACTCGGTATCTTCGATCGTTTGAACGGCTTTTACGTCTTTGAAGGCTACACTCTCGAGTACTCCGTTTGAAATACAAACATGAAGGTGGTTATAAACCTGGCAGTCGATTTCTTCTTCAGTATAACCGTACGCGAATAATAACGTGGAAGATGATAGAACTCGTAAGACGAGAACGAGAAAGCACAGCATGATATTATTCAACATGATGTTCACCGTAAAGCTGAACTTACACTGACCCCGTGGGAGATCGTTTTCTCTTCATATAGACAACTTCTCTCGCTTTTACCATTTCTCCAGATATCGCACCAGTAAATACTCCGATTATGAGAAAATTACTCCCATCTTATGCTGCTTCAAAGCTCTTAATCATTAAAATACTAGATATTCTTTGTAACTCTTGTCGAATTTTTCTTACTTTAATGAAAATGTGCTTTGGCGTTAAATGAAATTCCTCATTTGATCCTACAAAGCCGAGCATTATACGAATCTTCTGCGAATTACTCTCGAAACTCACACAATGGGTACTACTTAATACTTATTTATACGATAATACATTATATTAGATATATGAATAATTTATGGCTCAAGTTTGTAAAAAAAAAGAATTTATTTATAAATACCGAAGCGCATTTATTTAAAAACTCGTAAATTTTGATTCTCAAAGAACACAGATTCACAGAGAAATTATTTAATAATCTTAACTAACAATATTTGCAATTAATTTCGTGAGAAAGGATTTTCAATGGACTCTTCACGAATAAACAATAACTAATAATAATACATGAGGTATACGCGATGACATACATAAAAAAGTTTATTATTCAAGATAAGATTCGAACGGGTGCAAGCAGTGATCGAGTACGGGTTGCTTATTAATAGCCGAGCGTTATCGTGCACTTAACGAGAATATCTTTTGGTAGACTTTACGACTAATTGCGAAGAAGGAATACTTAACAGTTAAGAAGTAAGAAATGTTTCTCTATTCTCAACAAATTCTAATTAATTAAAATTGAAGATTTAATTAAAATAAAAGTTTATTAAACAGCTAATAGATCTCTACACTCTGGAATAATAATTTCCGTTGACAAGATGATCGAAAACGATAAATAAAATTAAAATCTCGAGTTGTGTGTGGGTGGAGGGGGAGGTGGGGGAGAAGAAGAAAGAAAAAAGAAAATTGCTAAACTTTAGCATCGTCTTTAAAATTTCATTTTTTTCTGACAATATCGTCTGAGAATGTGATAGAAAGAGAACAAATCGTTTATGGTAGCGTAAAAGGTTATCCTACGGGTGAACCGACTACAAGTTTTATATTTGATATAATAACGTTAGCGTGATTTTTATCGTATTATTTGAATTACTTTCCCTCTCTCTTTTGTTTTTACTGATTCGCCTGAATAAAGTTTTGTTTCGAATCGCATCGCGCACACTTTTTATTTTTGTTCTTTGTTTTTTTTTTCTTGCATTGGTCGTTATACTCACTCGGATACATAAATCGTGTCGGAAGTTTGCAAGTTCGATAAATTTCATCGGTTCGAGGACGCAATCCATCATCTTCCGAATCATTTTTCCTTTCGTTGCAAGGACAAGAAGTAGTTTTGGACATTTCCAAATATTTGCACATCGAAGTGAAATTAACGCGACGGAATTATTCAAGATATTTGATTGGCGAAGGAGTTCATCGAAGAATAACGTTTGGTTTCATGTCATCAAATGTGATGGGGAATTCACGAAACCATCTCCATCTTTGATTTGCTACCATAGTTACGTTATTTCGATCGCAAATGTTATATCGATTTAACAAACCGTTTTCCATTTGTTAAAGCTTTTACTTTTTTGTTTACATATATATTGCGTTGCGTTTTAATAAATACGGAATTTAATAAATCAGTGTAGTGTATCTCTCATGGCAATTATCGACTACCGGATAACAATAAAATGTTATTTTGATAATCGTACTACTACAAAACGCGCTCTTATCTCTTTCGAAGCTTTTAATGTTTCTCGTATATCTTCATTTCTCGACGGATTCAGTCATAAATATAGTCAGAAAACTGGCAGCGTCGATGCAACGACGATCGTGGGAAGAAAATGGTTAAAAAAAATAGTAGAAATGCATAAGCGCGCTCGAGTGTACGTTTTCTAAGTATACAGATAGGGGTACCCCTCTCCTCTTTAAAGCTTACCGATTAGAAAAGGGTCAATGAGCTTACCAGGTGAACGACTAGCTTGAGCACTGGTCGTCGTCTGCTTTAAATTCTTACAACGTCCGAGGAACTTTATGTTGGTCGCGTTATCGCAGTCTCGTGATAATAAGAAAAAGCTAATAAATAAAACATTTTTGTTTCTTTTCTTTTCTTTTTTTTTTTTTGTTTTCCATTGACTCTTTTACGACAATCGAGAAAAGGGGAAAGGAAATGCATCTTTTTAATGAGATAATTTTGTTTGTTTATTATATATATATACGAGTACGCGTTAAGACGTAAAATAATAACGTCAAACGCGTATCGACATATTTTTATGATATATTAATTTTTTTTGTTTTGATTTTCATCCATAATAAATAGAAACAAATCGAACGTTTTTTTTTCTTTTCAATTCAATGCGAACAAATTTGAAAGGAGTATAAAAATAATGACCGTGTCACAAACAGAGAATATGATGATAATTTTGTCCTTCGAAGGGAATTAAAACTCGTATCAAATCTTATTAACAATACGCGAACGAATAATAAATATAAACGTTACGTATTTGTTTAATTTATTCAGTTCCCCGTCTGACAACTTGGCGATAGGATAGTTGCAAACGTAGGTGCGCGGTTAATGAAGTGATTATCATCGCCGACGTTTCCAGTTGTGGTCTGGCTACCAGAAGGGTATTACCGGTTTGTGATAACGTCTAAAAACGTTGGCCAGAACGAAATGCAGTAACCAAGCTTGTCGAAGAAAGTGTTTCAATACCGAAGAATGAACGAGTGTTTTCGTATAAGCGAATAAACGAGTAATAGAAATCAACGTTTTCTAGTTTATTTCCACTTTTGATTTATTTACGACATAAAAATAAAAAGTTGCCTGTCCGTACGTAACAGAAATGAGACCGAACGATAAATATTTCCCCGTTGGATAAATTTAATTGCAAACGAAGTTTGCCTTTGGCCCTGACGAGGTGGAGGAAGAGGAGGAGGAGAAAGAGGAGGAGGAGATCGGTTCTCACATCTTGTATCACGGCATATCGTCGTTTGTTTCTTCGACGCCACGTTTGTATACGAGCGAGATCGTTGATTTTTTTTACGCAGCTCAAACAGCTTGTCAAAAGAAGAGATTGTCCGTTAGATTAGTTCGTTAAAATTGCTGACTCGTTCTTCGACTTACAATTAGATGTATCTAATTACTTCGGGTTAAAATTCAAGGGAACATATTCAAGAGCCATGTATGGAATGACAGAGTATAATGAAAAATTCCGACAAGGGGGTTATGTATGTACGCGTTGTAACGAAATGTATTGAATTTTGATAAGCACATTTCTTTTTTTCTTTTTTTATTTTTTCTTCTTCTAATATAATTCAAGTGAATAATAAAAACTATTCGTGTTGCAATTACAATACAAAAGGTATTAACAATAATTACTCAAACAATTATTCAACATGAATTGCAAAGTGATGCCTTTGAAGAATCATTCCGAGATAAGTTATCGAGTGAAATGCGTCGCCGTGGAAAACGAAAAAGTTTTCGGTGATGTATTTGTCACACATCGAACAAGACATTTCGATTATTCGTCGATCGGTTATCCCTATTATTCGGTTTACAAAGCGAAAAAACGTAATCTGATCGAACAGAGATTGGAAGGTCCGGATTTTATGGAATTGAATAAAAAATTGCCGATTAGAAGGGCCAGCGAAAGTTTGCTTGCAACATCGTCAAATAAAAAACAAATACGTAGGAGCAAATCTATGGATAGTAATTCAACGACTATTACTCAACAACAATTAGAAATGGTCAACACGAAGAAAGATAGTTTCTTTAGAAGTCCAAAGGTATTATCTCATGATTCATATATATATATTTCTGTAATAATTTTGAACGATAAATCCAAGGACATATTTCTACCCCGTTGTTGTAGAAATATCCAGCACCATTGGCGATACAAGATAACAAGCAGGAAGTGCGGGTTTGTTCGCTCGTGGATCAACTATTACTGGACATTTATGGTTTCCCATCCGGTAGTCGTTCCGAAAGCGATTCCACAGCTTCTTCGTCCTTGAGACAACATCCGCAGCACCAATATTTACAAAAGACTCGTCTCCTATTGAAAAGTAAGACTATTCAATGTAGAAGCACACACAAACGATATTGATCCTCCGAGGGAAAAGCCTATGATGATAAATGTCTTTTCATTCGTAAAGAACGTAGAACGTCATTGTTCGAAATTCTTTTTTTTTTGTCCCCCCTCCCCCTATTTTCTCTCCTCGAACGTCGCTTAACGAGATAGAAAAGGAAAAAAATAATGAAAAAAAAATAGGAGAGAAAGAAATAACTCAGGGTCGTGGTAAAAGTTAGAAAAAAGATTTCGAACTTTTCGTTCGAAAATTTATAAGATTTGTTTTTCTTTCATTCTCTCGGTGTGGAAACATGAGAAAACCATCAAATTTGTGATAAATTCGCAAAAAAAGAAAAGAGAGAGATAGAGAGAGAGATAAATCGAAGACACCTGAAATTAGCAAAGACTCTTCAGGGTCCGGGAAGCTGACGAGACAAGAGGCTGTAGAAGCCAGACAGACGAGCGACCTCGTTGACTTCGAGACAAGAACGTTCCTCGACTTTTAAGTGCTGTCCTGTTTTTTTTACCGGGAGAACACTTGTTTTCTTTTATCTTTTACACATACATTTTATTTATCTTGTTTTAAATTTACATTTATGTCGGTTTGCATAATATATAAACCATAATGTAATCTAAACGATCGGGATAAATCGAGTTTAACGGATCATACACTAATTTCATTTCTACGAAAAAAGTTTACGATTCTTAATACGGACGAATATTGATTTGTTGTATACTTAAAAAGCAAAAACAAAAAATTATATGTTAGTTATATTTTCAGGTAAAACGGAGCTGCAAGTATTGATAAAAATTTTGCACGAGCATATTAGTCATACCGGTGGATTGTTAGTTCGTCAATTACGAAGGAAGGATTATTTAATTGTCAAACGTGATAAACAGTGCGACATCATAACAGCTAATTTGCAAGCGCATAGCGCGAAAAGAAGTAAGTACACACACAAGGCTCATAAGAAATAATTATTTAACAATCTTAATTGTGTCTATTTATTTCTTTTGTTTTTTTTTTTTTTTAATTTTTTTACTTTTTTTATTCGTGTTTTATTTAATTTTTTGTTGTTGTTTTCTCATATCGCAAATTACTCGAAACCCTCTTCTCTCGTTTATTGCCTTGGACAATATAAATTATCTTTTACGCGCGATAAGTTTAACTTTAGTCGGAACAAAATTACTCGTTGATTGTGTAACCGTCAAACTATTTGTTTAGTTAACATAATATAGGAAATGATAACGATGTGTCTTTTAACGAAACTATATTACGAACGTAATAACGTTATTGGAATGAACTATAATAAACGTCATATAATATTTAATATTAAATCCATGTGATGTTAAATAGTACGGAATAAAAGATTGTTTCATTTAATTAATGTGTAAGTAAAATTGAATTTCAATAACGTGCTATGAAACTTCAACGAAACTTCGATAAAGTATTTATATTTAAATTGAACGAAAAAATAAACAATATAATTTCGTGTAATTTAATTAATATTTGAAAGGACTGTATCGCGCATGTACGAAAAAGTAATTCTCGGAGTCGGCGCTTATGCGCATTCTCATTTCATTCGATAAAACTTAAACACTGATCTATCATAGAAATAAATTATAAATGGCGCCGCGTAAAAGAAAACGATACGAAACGCTATATTTATTTACATTTTTCCTTTTCAACACAGATATTTCAATCAATTTAATATTTTATATATTATATACGATTGATTATTAATTGACGGGTAAACGATGGTTCTTTTCTTTTCGACAATTTTGTCGTGGTAGAATGTAAATACCAACACGTTCTAATTTTATTAATTGAAACAAAATTATTTGATTTGAAATAGTGCATTCACAAATGATTCGCTAACTATACGTCTACAAACACATACTCATATTCATATATATTATTCATATATATTCAGAATAAATAACGTATTAATGAAATTCGATTAATCGATCGTTCGAGAGTAATCGCACGTACGCGAACTTGTTAAGAATTTCTCTTTGTTAGATTTAAAAATATCACCTTCCTTTATCTAAAAGATGAATTAAAACAAATCTATTGTTTAGTAATCCGATTCGATTGCAAATTACGATTGATTTTCGATATTACAAGAAGACTGAATAATAATGACGAGTTCTCTCATTTGAGAGATAGTAGGAAAGACAAAGTCGCTTTCATACGGCAACGGTGCGGTGATCAATAATTAGACTTTGCCGCTTTTACATTGTTAAACACGCATGCTCGAAGTATACTGCGCACGACCAAAGTTCTTACGTAGTGTGCCGCCACCTAAAGTTACTTTTAACGATGTTTCCTTTATGAACGAATAATGCAGAACTTCCGATGACATTCTTCGGCAAAAGTTAATAATTTGCCAAATAGAACGTGAGCGTAAATTAGAATAAATAAATAGCGATTAGAAAATGGGATGAAATTATTTTCAGAAAAGTATCCTACCCTTTTCTTTTTTTATCGTAAATTCGCTTCGCAATTTTATCACATTCAAACTTTATTATCGAAAGATTTATTTTTATTAAAATACACACACACAAATAAAAAAAAAAAACAAGTATGAGTGAAGAAAAATTAATGAGAATGCCAAATATGTCTCTTTCTGTATAACATACATACCACTACTTTTGCAATATGACACGACTCGGAATGACCCATAAAGAGAGCGCAATCGATAAGTTCGTCGATCCGTGAGTGATATACGATAAGATCGTCCAGGAAGATTAAAATTATCCGTGCCCTTACAAAAACAAAACGAGAAACAACTTCGATAGTGAGATCTCTTTACGCGTTATCTATGATATTTTTAGAATAACAAAAAAAAAAGAAAAAATAGAATAAAATAGGAAAGATTGAACGGATAGAAAGGATCGTTAGAGGGGTGGTTGTGGTGGTGGTGGTGGTGGTGGTTATTCGTCAAATAAAAATCGAAGAAAGTGTCCAAGTACCGTGGAGACTCTAATCTCTCCCTTGGACGCATTTGTCTCGATGGCAACGGTATTTTTCGATGGAGAATCGTCTTTAATGGAGGAACGCATGCGCGGACAAATATAGAGAAACGAAACGAAACGAAACGAAACGAAAATGGGGTTAAAAACGAAGTTAGGGCCACCATCGAGGTCCCAGTTGGATTTCGAGTTCCTCTTACGAAATAAACAACATACGCCTATATTCGCAGTTCTAACTACGAGGAGGAACGAGCTCAACTATAGGACTTTTTGCATGAAGAACGTCAAGTTGCCTATTGCGTATCCCACCACCACCACCCCCCAAGCAATCGCAGCAAACCCCCCAATTCCACCCTAACCTTCGTCAGCAACGACACCACCACCGACGCCACAGCGCCGCTGCCGGCATCCTAGCCCATCATCGATGGTTGTGCGCGCGCGCGCGCGCACACACAGCGCACCACGACGGCTTCCACCTTTAGTCGTTCAGCTGACTCCAGTCGTGTACGACTGTCGTTAATTGTATCTTATATTTACATTTTATTCTAACGACACCTTGACTCGTTGCTGTTCTTTCCTTTTAACGAATATATCGGGAAAATCATTTATACGAGATTTGTATAGTAATCGTTATCGAGTATATATAAAAAAAAAAATAACCACCACGTCGGATCGAACATTGTTATATTTTGTTATCGTTAATTGTGACGAAGAAGAAGAAGAAGTTAAGATTAAACGGAGATGAGTCAAAAGACTAAGCTTCACATACGGACTCTGATTTGACGTTAACCAGAGAGCAGAATGATGATAATGATGATGATGATGATGATGATGATGATGATAATGATTTTCGACGTTGTCTACTACGACTACGAAATTTGAGATCTTGGCCAATCCCTTTTTTTCTTCGATTGAAAGAGAGAAAGAGATAAAGAGAGTGGGGGAAGGATGGTATGATGATCAAAGTTGATAATAGTTCAGAGATAACGTGTATATATATTGCTTTGCAGCTTTTTCTCGCGAATGTGTTAGAGTTGAATGAACAAAAATATAGAAGAAAAGAAAAGAAAGAAAGATTGGACTAAGGTGTTCGTTGTCGCATCGATTCTTTCGAGAAACCTTCTACTAAAAAATCCGTCAATCTTTTTATTTTATTCTATTATTTCTTTATTTTTTCGCACACTAATATCCTCGTTTTTAATTAATTCGTTGAGTTTTTTCGATAACGGGGTAAACAGTTTAGTTCATTTATAATAAGTTTTAGGATCGTCTTCGTTGACGGGTTTACAGTATCGTATTGGTGTATAACACATACACATACGTACGTAAATGCGTCAGTGTAGGTTACAGTGCGGCGAAATTCGTTCGATGGGATTATGTATGAGATACGGGTGAGTTTCATTTTCTCTTCTCGACGAAATTAGGTCACTCCTAGACATATTGACAACCAAACGATTGCCCTTTTTTTCTTTTCATGAACGGATAAATGAATAACTGTGTTTTTAGAGAAAAATTAAAGACTCGCGACCTCGTTCGTTCAATTCGACGTTGAGTGGAGTTACCTCGTTGAATCAAATCATTTTAAAAAATTGTTTTAACGCTTTAACTCAGAGTGTTGAGATTTTTTGTTGTCATCGATATTTTAACGGGAGTACGTTGATTTTTAAATAAAAAAGATCTTATCGAACAGAAACGCTTTTTCATTTTATTTTCGTTAAACACGACAACGCAATTTAAATGTTATTCAAATAATTTCTATTTATTGCTATTTCTATTTATCTCACGCACGTATATATATATATATATGTAGATGTAGATGACATAGTTTGTAACAGGTGGTGCAGTCGCGTATACACGCTTTAAGAAAATGTTGTCTAGCGCAGAGGTGAATTCAGGGTTCCCCAGTCTTTTTTTCTTCCTTTCTTTTCATTGTTTCTTTAGATTCGTCCGACCTAATGCATCTACCTTTCGCTTTCTTCTTCGACGCGTCTAGTCGGTGTGTCTTTTCAAGCTTGCAATAAAAAGCCACGTGGTGCCCTTGACGCATGGTCTTTCACGCAGAGATGAAATTATGTAAGACGATTTATGTACTCGGTGAAAAATGTTATGCGATGGAAATTTATTGCGAAAACAAAATCCGTGTAACAATTGTTTTAACGTTAGACGTTTCAAAAAGAGAACAAAAAAAAAATCAGAGAACAACGAATCATCGAAATAACAAATTAGGCGAATTAATCGTTATATTCATTTTTAATATCGTCCACCAACTATTCCCGAGGATTTCGATAAAGCATTTAAGTACCTATACATGTGTATGTGTGAACTTTTCAGAGCCTTAGAGAAAGCGGAACTCTTATGGGAAAAGTTTCGAAATGTGCCGAGTCTAGCGATGATTCCACGGCGATGAATCGAAGGACGAGGAATCATGAGACACGAAAACGGTTGAAGGGCGTGTACACGCAATATAATAAGAGGCAGGGCAGGTGAAAAGATGAGAAAATGAAGAAGAAAGAGAGGCGATTCTAATTGGAGAATGAGCGGTTTTTTCAACTCACTCAAAAACCTCGCGTCGGGAGCCGCGTACGCAGGAAGCTCTGCTTCGAGATATCAAGAGCTGGAAGGTGAAATAATATTCGTTAATTCGTTCGTTCGTTCGTTCATTCATTCGTTCGTTTATATGTTGTTATTATACCTTTTTTATTCTCTTTTCACTCCGTTTCACGACGACGAATTCTCATTTATTCGATGCATGAATAGTGATATTATTTCACGTTGAAAGAAATGATTATAAAAATCTGGGATCGTTTACTTTCCACCAGTTTTTATTTTTAAACCTGGTTATGAATATACATCGTTGAAGGACTGAAAATTATAAACGAAATAATAAAGTATTGGTAAATGAAACTTGGTCGGGAATAAAATAATCTTAAACGAGTTTTCTATCTGTCAGTGATTTTTAACTATAGTTTTATCTACGATAGTGTTATATGGGGTAAAAAGATAACGACTTATCTAAGCTAATTAGTCTACGCGTGGATTCTAACGTGCGTGCGAACGCGATACATTTTAAACGAAATCGAATATAATTATTTCACGTTGATGATGTTTCTCTCGTTTTATTTATTTCTCTTAATAACAATCAAATATTTTATTATGAAATTAATTGTACGGAGAGAGAGTTTTAGAAACAATGATGTTTTTAAAATTTACTCTCAGTTCCATCAAACGCCGATAAAATTGATTGGAAGTAGAGTATATAATTACATTAAACGGGACGTGATTATGTTCCTGTGATAAAATCAAAGTACTGGGTTAGTTGCTTGGATGTGATTACCAAGGAAATATGATTTCTTAGTATTCTCATGAACTTTGATTTTCTCGGTAGGAATAAATGGGGATGACGTAGGTATCCCCACGTGCTCCAATAGCTACGATTAAACGTACGTGCGTGAAAGAACAAACAAGAAGCGAGGGAAGAGGAAAGATAAAAAGTTCTCGAGATTCCTTCATTATCAACCTATCATATTTGCATTATTTCGATTTCAGTCGAAGATACGAAGATGAGATTTAGCTTAACTCCTCAGCCTGGGGAAAGTGGATTTCAACAATGGCTGGACGCGATGAAAATGGTAGCACGTTTGCCAGGAGGCATACCAGCGGAATTTCGAAAAAGAGTAAGCACGATTGGTGGGATGTTTAATATTGTACTACACTAGGAAAAATACACACACACGCACACACACACTTTAGAATTTTTCATTTGGATAAAAACAAATAAAAAGATGTATACTGTACGAGTATACTTTTTTTCGACGAATCTTTTACAGCTTTGGCTAACACTAGCGGAACGTCATCTGGAGCAAAGAGGTGTAGATTGGAAGCAGGCTGAAAAAGTCTGCTTTAATGAGTGGAGTAATCCTGACGACGAGGAGCTTGGTATACAAATTGTAAAGGTAATCCGCCGAAAAGTACCTTTTTCATTATCTTCGGTCTTTTTTTTTCGTTTTATATTTCGAATATCATCTAAAATATCAAAAAGAGAATGAAATGTATGAATTTTTATTATCACGAAGAAGATAGAAAAAAAGATACGAGATCGGATATCAGTTAGATTTTCGATCGAGATAATATGTACGAAATAATTGTAATCATTATCTTTATTCAGGATCTTCATAGGACAGGATGCAGTTTGTTTTGCGGGGCAGCTGGACGTGACAATCAAGCTGTGCTACGTCGAGTTTTGCTCGGGTTCGCACGATGGAACAAGTCGGTCGGTTATTGTCAAGGATTGAACGTATTGGCGGCTCTTGTTTTACAAGTCATGGATCGTGTGGAATCATCGGCTGTGAAGGTGATGATCTATCTAATAGAAGGTGTTCTACCGGAAGGTTACTTCGCCGACAATCTTCGCGGGCTTTCCGTCGACATGGCTGTTTTTCGCGATCTTCTTCGTTCGAGAATGCCTAAATTATCCAAGCATCTTGAAGTTTTGCAAAGCGACGCGAAAGACAAAGCAACAGGTTGGTAATTAATTACCAAATTCGATTAGATTTATTTTCCCATTTTTTATAAGATCGAACGTTTTAATATTTAGACTTAGATATGTTTTTTACAGGTAGCAGCTACGAGCCACCTCTTACGAATGTATTCACAATGCAATGGTTCCTCACACTTTTTTGTCATTGTTTACCACAAGATGCGGTACTCCGTGTCTGGGATCTCATATTTCTCGAGGGTGACCAAGTCCTTCTAAGGACGGCTTTGGCCATTTGGGAAAGTCTTTCCGAGTACGTGTAATCCGATTTTCATCTTGAGAGAGATTTGATATCTGATCGTTAATCATGCTTCTTTCATATCAAATCTTTTTTCAGCCGAATTATGACCGTGACGTCGGCAGACGAGTTTTACAGTATCATGGGAGTTCTCACACGAGAAATGTTGGAATTTACGGATACGAATAATCTTATAAAGGTCAGTTGCGAGAAAATGATATGGCGCGTCATTTATACTTAAAGAAATTTTTTTTTTCTCTCTCTCTCTCTCATGTATTTTAGATTGAATATAAGTTTAAGTTATTTCTTTTTTTTTTTTTTTAATTTTAATTTAACTCTTTTTATTTTATTTTTAATTAATATGTGTCACGAAATATATGACGATTATTTTGTAGAACATTGTCAGTTTGGGACCATTGCATGGTGTGACTGGGCTCAGAGAAAAACATAGGTATAATATTACACCGTGGGCTAGAAAATTAAGCGACGATGAAGATAGCGATACCGAGGAAGACGAAAGATTAGCCGTGGCTGCTGCTATGTTTAGTATGGCTCAAAAATTGAAGAAAGGTGAACTTTTGAGTGGTAATTAAACAATTAATAATTATAACAAATATTATTTTAGCCTGTGTTCTATCGATGTTCGTCTCATTGTGGAAAGATTAATTAATTCTTTCCAAAAATAAGGTTGTTGTCCCTTGTTAAACGTTCTTGATAAAATAATTTAACATGAAAATATTATTTTGGCAGAACACATTTCCTCGACGATGGGAGCGATACAAGCAATGGCTCCTGGCAGCGATCGAGAACGTCTCGCTTTGGACATCAGTACGTTGAAACAACAGTATGCTAAGCTTCGAGAACGACAACGGCAAGCTCATATTATACTCTCCGGTAATTATCAATTATCAAAAACAAACGAAACTCCATAGAAAATTGGGGCCAATCGGATCGATTAATATTTAACTGGTAATGGAATACGAAATTCAAGCTTGTATACGGCATTACGTATATACAATAGATTAGATCGTGAAACTCGCGACAAAAAAAAAAAGAAATAAACTTTAATAAATTTAAATATATAAATTTGGGATTTAACGCGACGTTATGAAAATTCGAATAAAGATATCGCGAATAATTCGCGTTGAAAAGATGGATTTAATGGTATTCGAAAAAAACACAAAAAAAAAACAAAAATACGAGTTTATTTTAATTTTCTAATTAATGCTTACTGCGATGTTTTAGAAACTTTATAATTGAATCGAATAAATTGAATGTCGTCGTTTTTCTTTGATATAGCCGCGTGTGCGAGACAGTCGATGGTTCCTCCTCCCACTTCTCAGGCCATGAATCACCTGTTAGTCGGTAAGAATGCCCTAGTGAGTGGAAAAAATCGATCACTCGGTTTGTCCTCTGGTACGACCCCTTCCAAGACGAGACCCGTAGTTCTTCACAGTCCACGAGCTCAAAGTAAAAAGGAGAGACAGCAAGTTGTCACTTTGCATTGGAAAGACACGAAGAGGCAGAAACATAAATTTACCGAGACACCTGCCGGTATGAGTAATCATTTCTATCTATCTTATTAATTCGATTTTCAAATTTTTATTCATTTTGTTTGTCTTTTTTTTTTTTTGTACACATAAGAAACGCGACAAACAAAAACAACATAATCGCGCGAAAGTAGAATTCTATTTTACCGATCGTCGTCGTAGGAGTTATCGCATGGCAATTTGTTGTTTTTCATTTGCCCCTGCTTCCACCAACCCCATACCAAATCTTTCACCCATCGACTCGAGAACGAAGCTCTATATAGGCTCCGTGAACTCGAGATTGATTTCATTTCAATTTTTTCTTGCCACGCGTTTTTGAAGCTATACTTCTTTTGGCGCGTTTTGGAAAGTGAAGTTAGATGCGACCGAAAAATCGACACCACGAAGTTGTCGATATTAACGCGAGGCGCGGGCAAATTGAAGTTATTTTTGAGATTATTGAAGTTATATTCGTTTTGGTAACGCTAAATAAGTATAACTTCTTACATGCGTACATAAGTACACACATCAGCTTTGTATTTATTATTATACGATCACTTTGATTTCTTAACGATAATATTTCTTGCACAATATTTTATCATCAAATGATCATGAACTCTTATCGTTGGATAGCTGCCTTATCGACGGTCTTTTTGATTCATCATAGAGGCTACAGAATGCAAGGAGAAGTCGATACAATCGCCGGAAGAGACGATGACGACGATGACGACGACGACGGATGAGCAAACGTCACCAAAAAGCGGCGGGACCGTCGACAGTGACAGCGATAGCACGTCGACTGAATTATGCGACGAACCTGATCGTTTCAGTGACGTAGACAGCGAAGAACTAACGTCAGCAGCATCGGACAATTATTACGTCATGGCGGGGGAGGAGGAGGAGGAGAAGGAGGAGGAGAAGAAGAAGAAGAAGAAGGGCGGGAGAGTCGAGGGGTCTTCGACCTCGGGGAATTCACCCGTTCGTTTGCCCCCTGACGTAACGACTAGCTCCCGTGACGTCATCGAGGGAAATAGTCCCGATTTAGCGGAAACATCGATAGCTAAAATCACCGATCAAATAAGAAGATTATCGGCTGAAGATGACAATAATACGATGGTTCCTCAAACGCTTTTCAAAATTGAAAGCAAGCAAGATGATGTTGTAACGACTAAAACGTTGCAAGAAGTCGATCAATTTAAATCTTCTAAGTGTCAAAACGGTCACGACGATGAAAAAAAATGTTTAAGTTTATACGACAATCATGATTATTTCAAATTAAATTACGACGAGCCAAAGACGACGATGATCTATATCCCGGATGAGAAAAACAACGAAACTATCGAGAACAAAAAGGACGACGTTAACGCGGAATTAATGAGCGATCTTCGATCGATGACGAAAGCAATTGAGCTCGATAATTACGGTGATAGTAGCAAGAACGTTCCTGGCTTATCGTCCGACGATGTTCATGATTTCATTTCCAAGGAATCTATTATAGATTCGGACATCATTTCCAAATACGATACCGTCTCTATAATTAAGAATTACGATAAACAAAACGAATATTCGGATAAGAAAGACAAACTTGATCAGTTATCTTTGGATTCTTCTAAGACTGAAGGGTCACCGATCGAGGTTGATAAAAAATTTGAAAGATCTACGGATAGTTATAAATCAATCGATTTGAAATTATCGGATACAAAGGTTAAGCTTGATTTTGAAGTCTCGTTGGATTCTTATAAATCTAGAAGTGTTTTGTCAATTGACACGAATGAAACAGATTTTCAAGTTTCTTTGGATTCTTATAAATCTTTGAAATCGTCTGATATTAATGATAAACCCTTCGAGACATCTTTGGATATTTACAAATCGTCAAATTTATCGGATAGAAATGATGAACGCGTCGAAGCGTCTCTTCATTCTTACGAATCTTTAAAGTCATCGGATACTAGCATCAAACGATTCGGAACATCTTTGGATTCTTATAAATCTTTAAAATCACCAGATACGAAAGACGAAAAACGTTTTGAAACGTTTTCTTTGGACTCTTACAAATCTTTGAAATCATTGGACACTAATGACAAAAGCCTTGAGGTATCGTTAGACTCTTTAAAAAAAAGTATGGATACCCTAGAAACAAAGGATAAACCATTTCATTGTGAAACGTTGTTGAATTCTTACAAATCGCTGATTAAATCGCCGATCAAATCGCCAATCAAATCGCCGAGCAAATCTCCAATCAAATCGCCAGTTAAATCACCGGACTCAACGGACAAAAGTTTCGAAAGCTCGTTAAAGACTTACACGAACGTTTTTTCCCAGAGTTCTCAGAGAAAAGATATTACATTGGATTTTTCATCGACTAATTCGACGCTCTCTAAGCAAAGTTTTTACACGTCGAAAACTTATGTGGTTGGCCATCTTCCAATTTCACCGATAACCGTAGATCATAAAATAAATACGTTGAATCGAGTCTCTTACGGTATTACCGATGACACCCAAGTTGCGACGTTAGATGTTAGTAAAAATACGGATCACCCGTTAGACGGAAAATTGAAAAGCATACAAAGCAGTAAATCTTATATAGAAACGAAGAAGAGTCCTAGAACGCCGGAAAGTTCAAAGTCATTCAGCTCGGGCGAAACAATGGGTCCGGATTCAAAGGGCTCGAGTTTGACCATCAGTCCAAGGACACCAGTTAAATCGGTCTCTCGAGAGTTCTCCGCGGACAAGTCGATATGTTCCTCGATAAGCTCGGATACGAAAACCCTCGTCCTTCTATCTACAACCGAATCCGACGTAGCAAGAGAGAGTCCAAGATTGGAAGAAAAGAAATCGTCTTACGAAAAGTCGAGTCCTTCGACGCCATTTAGTACAGACTCGCTCAAGTACAAATCAGAATCGAGTCCAAAACTCATCATAAGCAGCTCCAGTGACTCCTGCAGTCCGAGCAAAATGAAGTCTTCCGAGAGGTCCTTCAGTTCGGACCTTCGATCGCCTATAAGTGCCAATTCTATAAAATACACTTGGAACTACGGCAAACGAGGTCAAGATAATATTTCTGACTCGTCCATCGATCTGAGCACGGCCGTCTCGCCGTTTTATCCGATCGCACATCCCAATCAAAAGACCCCGTCGCCGTACAGTGTTTCTAGACGAAGATGTAGCACGGATAGCGCGGATACCTCGCCGGAACAAAGATTATCTGTTTCGAAGGATTCGACCAAATGTTCGAGTAACAATCGAATTCATTTGGATTCAGTATCTTTGAGGATCGAAAACAGAGAAGAAAATGCAGTTTTGAAGAAAAATACGTCCTTGAATGTTTTAGAAAGGGATCGAGAAAAAAGGGATCGGGAGAAAAGCGATTCGACGAATTTATACGAATTCGGATCTAATTCGATTTTGTATAGAAACGAGAACAAGGAAGATTCTGCGGAGAATAATGGTGACGATCGGTTGTCCGAGACAGATACGGTATCACAGTTGCCTCGTGAACAATTGAACAAACATTTCATGAATCTTAATTGCAGGCACAAGGATCGCTCGAAATTCATGGAAAGAAGTTCCAGCAGTCTGGATCGAAGGTTCGCAGATTTGAAATCTTCGGCATCTACGGACGAACTCTCAACGTCGATCGCAAAGAAAAGATCGAGTGACATTTTGGAAGACATGAAGCATCTCGAGGCAAAGGCATTTAGTGATGGACCATCGGATAGTGCTATACTCAGTAAGAAGACCAGTTACATATGGGAGGATTTCAAGAATCTCGAGGCCAGACGTCAAGACAATTTCAGTAATTCGGCAAGTAATTTTTCGAGAAATCGATTAGACGTTACCGATATTACCCCAACGTCCTATAATTTAACGAACGTAGATGCTAGAAAATCATACGTTGTGCGACCAAAGATAAATATAGACGAGGGTGTCGATAGTATTTTAAAGACGGTCTCGCTTAACAAGTGTAACGATAACGACAACAACGACGTAGACAAGCACGAAGACGAAGACGACGGTAGGGAATCTAAATTAGGTGTTTGGACTAAGGTAAAACCGAGGAAGAAGGGAAACAACGGTAGAAGAAGTAGCGACAGAGCATTGAAAATAATCCAAGAAAATTCGGCGATTCTTCAAAAGATTCTCGCATGTCAAGCAAAAAAACGTCTACCCGATTTGGAGGAAATATCAAAGGAGATCACGATCAGTCCAATTAATGAGGAAATTTCGAAGATATTCAGTCCAATATTAGAGAAGATGGGATTGAACGAGCACGAGATAAACGAGGAGTTGGCTCGAATTAATTTTCATGATTTCGACAATATGACGGGAACAAGTGTGTCCGAATTTGATGCGAAAATCAACGAGGAACTCTCGAAGTTATCGTTGATCGACGAGACCGAACGTATGGAAGATCTTGACGTGGATGAGATTATATCTCACAAATATTTTGACACGAGGGAAGCTCTGATAGATCGGAAGATTAACGAGGAACTGTCGAAACTTTTGGCAAACTACGAGGAAGAGCCACGATTGAGCGTGGCTACATTGGAAAAGGGTTCCTCCAGTCAGAATATCAGCGATACCGAAGGCCTCGACTTGACTAGCATCTCGACTAACGTTTTTTCCTATAAATCGTCCAACGATTCTATCGAGACGAGAAGCGAGCAAGGTTCTCTTCAAGAAACATCGATTCAGAACGAAAGATTCCCTCAATACGCTCAACCGACTTCACCTTACTCAACGTCGACCTACGTACGATATCTTTCACCCAAAAGTGACATAGACATCTACAGAGAACTAGAAAAATTGGACAAGATATCATCAGCACAGGTGATTCCTGACACCCCATTGGACATTTCTCCAAAAATCTTGTCACCGGTTGCGGTTGCCTACGTTACTAATGCATCCCCTTACACTTCCGACGTATCCACTCCAATTGGATATTCACCAAAAATGATGTCATCGTTCGATACCTCCCCGTTAAAAACTTCTTACGATCCTTACAAAACTTTCGATTATAAAAGTAATTTATCACCAAGAAGGGTACCTAATAATCCATATACCCCACGTCCCTACGACAATGCAGTTGATTCAAATTTTGAATATTATGATCGCGAATCTACTACGATCTGTACTAATTCTCCCTATGACGTTCATTCGAAGAGTCCTATTTTAACGAAGGAATCATTGGAATTTCGCGTTAGATACGACAACGAGTCACCTCAACGAAAACTCAGCGACGAACCATTCGGTCTGTCGATAGAGAACAAACAGATGAATAAAGAGAAAAGTATTTTGTATTTTGGTGATGATAGTAACAAAATTGTCACTCCCAACAAGTCAACTGGAAAGGAATCGAGAACACATGATATTGTTGCTAGTTCTTATTTCGATTATTCAAGTGAAAGTTCGAATCTCTTGCGTCGCAAATACGATCAACCATCACCTATGAGAAATTATATTCACGATAAGAATCTCGAATACGATGGAGTTTTATCCGGCATGTTAGAAAACGAATCGAAAGTGGTAACCTATTTGCGTGATTACCAGCCAACTCTTTCTCCTAATCGACAATTCGATCAACCCTTTACACCGACCATTAATTATCTCTCCACAAAACTTTCACCAAACATTGCAGACGAAACCAATCGACCTATTTCTAATCCCGACTTTCCAGACAAAATTACTATCACCGGGCAATACACCGAACAACCAACCAGAGGTTCCAGTTGTTACAAAAAATCATCTTTGAGTTTGGCCAATTTAGGACGAGCTAGCAAAAACGGTGAGGATAATCTGAACTCAACGCCTAGTCCAAAGGCTCAATTCAGTCCGTTTCCGGTAAAGAATGCGTCGAAGAAACCGAAAGAGTTAGGTCTTAAATTAGGCCTCTATTCGCCGAAAAATTCGCCTAGTGGACCCTTGAGAAGATCGTAGTTGATCGCATTGTTCGTCTTTTTTACCTTTGCTTTGAAGGTACACGTATTTAAATATACGTTAATGCAATATTTCTTTTTTTAAGAAACACATAGGCCGAACGATGACGAGAAAGCCTACATACACGATAAAAAAAGATAAAACAAAAAGATCTTGTGTTGTTAATGTCCAAATGCGATGTTTTATATACCTCTTCGACGCATACACTCGCATAAGTTTTTTGTTTTTGTTTAAAACGACAAGCGCGCCTAAAGCTGTCCTTTCTAAGTACTTCTCATTTTCTGATAGTATATACATATATACATATATAAATATAAATATATATATATATATATATTGTTACGTGAATTAGATAATATTATAATTATAAGAGATTAAAGTATCAACTAATAATTTATTTTTAAGTTACGTGATAAAACAGCGAAAAGCTCTGCGCCAAGTTTTTCTTGTTCGTTGATAGAATAATAAACTGAATGAATTATTGGGATGATAAATCGTAAAAGAAGGCGTTAAGAAAGAGGCACTTGAAGGTAGAGTGTACACTTGAATAAGTTTTCTCTAAGTGGTGCAATAATGAACGGTTGATCTTTGATCTTGTACCTGTAATTCGAAGTTACTATCATTCGTGTTACGACTTTAGACCGTTAATTTAAAAACGAATTCGTTTCGAATTCTACCATTTGCTAAAGTTTGTCAAGAGAAAAAACTAATTGTAAGATTGACATGCATATAAACGCTATCGAAAACTCAAATTTTCTAATAAATGCCTTTGGCTCCATCCAATTTTGCTGATCATATACGCATATATAATATATATTATATTATATTATATTATATTATATTATATTATATTATATTATATTATA